TCCACGTTGCGGCACCTCAGCTGCGAAACGGCAAGTGTGCAGGTGCTAACGGTTGCCACCTGAAGTATTTAAACGCGGTGAAACGGCTTTGGTTACTGCGTTGCACCACTTAGTCCAACGCATGTGGGTTGAGGTGTGGGTGCCTCCTGAGTTGAAGCATGCCCTTGTGCTACCACTGTACATTGGCAATCGGAGCAAGCAATGTTGCACGAATTATCGTGGCATCAACTTCCTGAGTTGTGTGGGCAACGTGATTGCCCGAATTCTTCTCAACCGCCTCGTTAATCCGGTTGTTTAACCGAACGTGGCGGAAGAGCAATATGGATTCCCTTCGGGTCGCAGCACCATCCATATGGTGTTTACGGCTTGTCATTTGCAGAAAAGTGGAGAGCGACCCCAACTGTTGTACTCGCTGCTTGTTGATTTCACTAAGACATTCGATACGGTGAATCGCGAGGCATTGTGGCTGATGTTTGTTATTTCTGGTTTTTCGAGTATGTTTGTACGTTTTTTGTATGTCTGCACAGTGGTATGCGGGCGAGGGTGCGGCTGAGTGGAGAGACCTCGGATGACTGTGAGTCATCTCTAGTGTGAAGCAAGACTGTGTCTTAGCTGTCACCCTGTTTAATATTTACCTTCATGCGGTGTTCGTGTGGAGCACCGGATTGATGATGGGTTGCTGAACATTCGTCGTTTTAATGCAGGAACCCTAGCCTGTGAGATAACTATCCGTATGTTGCTGTTTGCTGACGGCTGTGCGTTGTTTGCACACATTGCGCATGAGTTGCAGCATATGACTAGTACTCTGGCTACGACGGCGGCCAAATTCGGGCTCATCATCAGCACACGCAAAACTGTCTGTCTCTTTCAGTTTTCACCGGAGGTGCAATCTACAATGGTGCTGCGTATTGGAAACCAGCTTCCGCTTATGCTACCTTGGGAGTGTGATGTCGGCTGACTAGCAGCTTCACGGTAAGCTTCGTATCCTCGTCCCAAATGTAGCGGCAGCATTTGGGAAGCCAGAATACCGAGTATGGAACAACAATCAGCTTACCATTGGCACGAAGCTGATGGTGTACAAATCCATGGTGCTGTCCGTTCCTTTATATCATAGTGAAACGTGGACGATATACCTGCAGGATGTGCGATATCTCGAGCGGTTCCATCAGCAGTGTTTGCAACGGATTCTGTGCATCAGTAGGTGCGGCAGAGTTGCGGACACGGAAGTGTTGCGTCGAAGTGGCATCTATGCAGTGGACTGCATCCTTTTGCTGAGACACCTGAGGTGACTCGGTCATGTGTGGCGTATGGATTCAACGCGGATACCGAAACAATTCTTATACGGTCAGCTGAGTACTGGGAAGCGGCACGTAAGGAAACCAACGTTGCGTTACCAGGACATGATCATAGTGAGCCTCTCACGTTTTAATCTTGATTGCGGGTCATGGGAATCGAAAGCGGTTGATCGGCATGCATGGCGCGATCTGATCACGAAGACAGTTGCCGAGGTGCGGGAGAAAGCCCTCATGCATGCAGAGAAGAAGCGGCAAGTGCGGAAGCGGCAAGCGCCGATGGGTTGTACTCCATCTACCTCGAGCGCATGGTACTGTAGCACATGCGGTCGCGAGTGCCTAAATCTGGCATGCCTAGTGAGCCACTAGCGAGACCACTCGGGACCGGCATCGAAGCGACGACGGATCTTGAAGAGAACGGAAGCAGAACCGGCGCATGGTTTGTAGTTACGCTGCATTCCATTTACTAACCGTGTGCCTGCGTGCTGAGTTTATTTCAGGTGGTGGGTTTGCTATCCTGTCGCAATTCATATGTCTTTTACCTCATCTTTACGTTTATCTGATTAAGCTAATTTTGGTACAGTTCGTTAACATTTTTGCGTTTGTGGCTTTTTCGTGAAATATGTTTTCTGACATCTTTCACTTATCGCGAATTTGTTCGTAACCAATTTATTTCATATACTCATTTAGCGTAGGCTTATGACAGCATTTGTGTATGCTTGATTCGATATATATTTTATCTTATTCTCATTTCAAGTTTTTGGCTGTTGTTTGATATCCCCGGTGTGGCTATGCTTGTTATACACGGTGACAAGGTGCCTACCTGGCTGTTACCCACTACCTCGTCCATTCTCACTCCAGTAGACAGTTGTTCGTTGCTGGAGGGGACTGGGTGCGCGGGTCCTTGTCGCCGTGCTAGACTCGAAGAGTGGTTCTATACACTTAGTGTGGAGTGGACTGCGGTCCAACCACCGCCTTGTGTGCGCGTGATTCCCAAATACAGCGTGCTTGTGTTCGTCTGTGAAGGAATGCGGGCCGGTTCGATTGATGGAACTTGGTTCCCTTCAGCATGCCTCCCGGAGAATAGCTATTAGACATTCAATTTTTGGGAACGAACTTAATAGCCATTCTTCATTCTTCCTATTTTCTGCTTCTTGACTATCGTTTAAACGCCCGATTGGTACACATTGTTAATGGACGCTCATCTCGTGTACTTTTCAGCAGTGCCATTTGCGGGAACACATTCCACTGGTTTTTCTCCGTATCACTGTTCTACTTGGTTATGTTAAAGGAATATTTAGTTGTCACACAATTATTGTACTAGTTTTAATTTTTGGGTATGCAGTTCTTATTCTCGTTGGTTTCGTGACATTTGTTTAAACGATACCTTTCGTTCTTCTGATTGGCCATTACCCATCACTGTAAATGAATGTTCGCCTTACGCTTGGAGTCCCATGATGCTATTTTTAAGGATATATGCGGTTCACTCTTGAATACATGGTTGCTTATTCGCCGTTGCATTTGACGTTTTCCTTCTGTTGATTGGCCCAAGTGTAATTTAGCAGCTTCCCTACATTTTGCCTTCAAAACTATGTGAGCAAATGTGATTTCATATATAAAACTCTCTTTCTGCCTCGTCTTTGGATTTCTTCTTACGGTCGTGGGGCGAAGGCATCAGTGGCGATACAACTGATACCCAAATACACCGTGCTTGTGTTTGCCTGTGAAGGAGTGTGGGCCGGATCCGTTGATGTAACTTGGCTCCCATCCACATGCCGCCCGGTTTTATTCCTTCGGGTTTACACTGGATATGAGGTGTATGAATGGAGCTTTGGGCGGTTCGGCGCAAGCCACCCATGTGTAGGCGCAGGCGTCCTGTGGTTGTCCCCGTGGAGGCCACTGTGACTGGCAAATCCTAAACCGGATGCTGCGCTAATCCATCTGCGTGCATCCTGCAATAAACTCGGTCACCAACCCGCTGGGCTTCGAGTGGCGAGTATACATGGTAAAGGAAACTCATTGTTCAAATTCAAAGCATTTCTGGGCGCACATTTTACGAATCTCCAGTTCAGATGAGGTTTCTTTGCTGGTTGTGACACCGTTCCTGTGTCGTCTCATTGTTAACATGTCTCATATATTATTACCATTCCACACATGAACATAAGGAACAAACAACTTACTGATAACTCACTGTTTTACGTATTCTATTGCTTTTCGTTTGCCTTTCTCCCTTTTCCCCATCGCACCTTTCGTTGTATTCCACTTCATACTCCACCTCACTTTCCCCATCAGCATTAATTATTATTACCATGACGACGCCAGTCATGGCAACTGCGTTCATCGTACTTTGGTGCGCGATTCGTAATCCTTTGCTTGACCTAACTACATTGGTATTAATCATTGGCGCTTTCTTGCACAGATATCCGCGAGTTGCGTTGAATGTGCACCTTTTATGTCTCCCTATTCCAACTATACTTAGTTGCGTCGCTTCGGTATCTTGGATCGAGGTTAAAGCATTTGGAAGTAGACTTCTCTCACCATTGCTCCCAACGCTCCAACTTATGATCACGCTTGGTGCTCTAACATGTGCTCCAGTGTTTCTCATCTCCGCATCGCAACAAATAGATTGGGAGTAATTCGGTCTACATTATAGCACGTCCGCATGCGCTCACTGGGCCATGGGCGAGACTTACAAGCTTCATTACGGGTACTACTGTACGGTGAAACAACGAACCCAGACGATCACCTTTCTCAGCTGACCTGAGTTTCGTATGCAGTCCTAACATCCCGAAGGTACATCTCGGAAGTGCGTTCTAAGTTGCTAATGCAGTTTGAGGTGGTCACGTATGTAACGACCTTGACAAAATCTTTAAACGAGCAACCATATTCGAATACCCAGATGATAACAAATGCAACGGTGGAGGAAGCGCTCCGACAACCCCAATTATGAGTGGTTCATTCCCGCTTAACTTGCGAGGTGCACAAACCAATCAAGGTAGTCGGCCCCACCCATCATCGAAATAAACGGCGCTGGCTGCTGTCGCGACTCCCTGTCTGCTTAGCGCAAACACGGAGTGCACGCTAGAATTAGGCGCGCAATGCACCTGAAGCATCGAGGAGACTGGCAGAAGAGCACGCATCACCTGACAGACGGCGTCCCGGATCACTCACGCTATTGGCCTGATTTCACATGAGTTGAAACGCACCAATGGGATTACGTCTCGTACTCCGATACCGCCGATTGAACTAGCATTGGCTACCCACCACTTCTGACGTAGCTCCCTCGCTATCGTTCCCGTCACAGCTGCTCACTTGATGACTGCAGCGGGCACGGCATTTACGAAATGGTATCAGCCGACAGAGTTTGCCCTTTCCAGTTCCGTCAGCTCGGCGACGATGCGCTGCAAGCCGTTACGTGTGTCCTGTACATTACTTCTCGGAATGCTTACTGCACATTTGCTCCACAGTGCTCTGAATTTCGGTAGAAATTCGAGTTGTGTGAGAACCCCCTCTTGGACTTGGAGAAATAATCCAGTTCCCAACCGAAAAGCCAAGATACTTTGTTATGTCAACACCTATGGAGCAAACTTTGAACGCAAAGCAATCCATGTGCAGAATACTTGGGCTCGCCGATGTGACAAATACTTCTTCACCAGCACGACTCCTCACCCAAACTTATCGGTGTTGCGTAAGCCCACTTTTTGTGTGCATGACCGCTTCGAAGTCACATGTTTCGTTAGCAGTAAAAATCATTCATGCTAAACTAATTATGTTAGATTGGATACCTGAGCTTATCATACCTAGGTTTATTGTTTTGGCTCTTTCAGTCGGGTTCACTATGATGAAACTTAGGCACACTGCTCTCCCACACGGAAAAATGCCAAGCGATCTTTCCGTCCTACTGAGGTTCATCGGCTTCATACCTTGCTGGATTCCCACTCACGAACCACCAAGTTGCATTCCGCTTGGTCATGAATGACGGCGGTGCCCCATGTGACTAGGAGACTAGTTGCTGATTACGAACCAGTGAAAAAACCGTATACCATAGAACCTGCCCCTCAGTCGATCATGTACTTGCAATTGTTGTTCTGCTAGAATGTCCTCATTATACTTCTAACTTGTTCAGAGTACTTAGTCCGTTGGATAGCACCACGAATAATCCCCCACTCCTCCAGAATTCACCGCTATTCTGTGCTTTGGTCATAGTGGGTTACTTGTGGTGGACCTGAACCAGAACTTTCAATATGCCTACGCCAGTCTCCATCGTATCCCCATTTGTATCGTTCTCCCAGAATTTCAATAAGGTACGCTGTTTTGTTGACCTTAAAAGATGTAGCTCCTTTCTGCAGGAAGCATACTGGACCACTCACCCTCAAGTCTCACTTGTTCCCCAGCCAACACACACTGTAGTTGCTAACGAAGTTTCAGCTATTTAATCTCGGTACTACTTTCAGGTTAAATGGACTCCTGGTGTCCCTCAACCACTCGCCGATGACAGACACAAATAACCAACACTGCCATACGCCCCAACTGACGTGGTTCTACACTCGATTTCCGCACGCTTTTTATCAGTACACCAACTCAGAATATGCACTAGTTCAGTGGTTCCCAACGTGGGGATAATTACCCCTAAGGGAGTAAAATGGAATTTTACGGGGGTAACTGTAAGTACGAGGAGTGGGTCATCAATCTGTCACCAAACCAGATTAATAGGGAATTTATCTGTATCGAAACGTAGCTAACTAACCAACTAAGTACCATTGATTGGCCATCCGTGACTTATCATTAACGAGTGGTCAGTGAATTGGGCAGTCTTCGGTAATAAATTTTATTGCCTGAATACAAGTCTGGAAAGCAGCACAGCTAGACAGCGTCTATCGGCTCGCTCGGCGATCGCTGTTGTTTTGAGCCAGGCACTCGTTCGTCGGATCTAATTAGAGTTGTGTGACCACTAAGGTGGGAGCATAGGTCAGTCGACCAGGTAAAGGAGCGAGCGAATGTTCGTAAGGTAGACGAAACAAAACTGGCGATTAGTGTTCAGGACGGGTCGATACAGAGCGGTGGTTTGAAGCTGTCATGTAAGAAGGGCATGAAAGTGGAGGTTGAAAAAAATGAGCAGCCATTGACATTTGTTGCTGTTTGATCAGGGATCATGCACCACAATAAGGAGGCAAATGAGCTTGCAACATGACTTACGATGTGCATTAGTCGGAACCGCGCAACATATACCGTAAATTATTGGAACAAAACAATATCCACTGTCTCGTTGAAGTACCTCACCTCTTTATTATTTAAAAATAGCTCTAAAATAGGTGTCTTCTTTAGTTGAATGATGGATAGTACTTACAGATGGTATTCATTTTCCGAAATGTAAAAAACTGCAATGATTTATAGGTAATTGGCTGTCAAAACTAAAGCTTTGGAGAGTAATAGTTTATAGTGAATCCGATTTGTGGGTAACTGCCGGAAGAAGGTTGAGAGCCACTGCCGTGGTTCGTCACAGGTGTTTCTTGTTTTTACCAGGAAACGCAGTAAGTGGTTCTCTGCTGTGGCAGCCAGAAGAGGGTTTCCGTCCACTTTTAAATAACCATCTTAGTAGCACTGGATTTCTGGCGTCATGCCTGACGTGCGACTTTCCACTCGTGTCACTATCAATCGTCATCGCACAGAACAAACAAGCGTAGGAAAGCCCAATGAGCCTGTCGGAACCCAGAGACTCCTTGCTGCTCAGTTGTTGGGGAGAGCAATTTGAATGCAAATGTTTTTATCACTATTCGTGGTGATAGCATCGCGGTAGGAGAGTTAGAAGTTTCGTAGCGGCAGCTGGTGGGAGGCATATTCGCCACTGTTAATTCTCCTACATTGATATTGTAATGCAAAGTTTGAAATCAAATTACTTAGCTTATCGAATGCCACAACAAACGCGCATGCAACCGGACCTACCGGTATGTCAAATAATTTTAATTTCCTGCTCTCATTGAATTTAATTAGTTCAAACGAGCTCACAGACACAAGCTATGACTTAATCGGAGGGCCTTCAGTTAACTGTGAATGGTAAAAAGGAAACAGCAGATTGGGTTCAGATGAGGTTCTTTCCACCATCTCACACCACTTGTTCCATGAAATGAGAAATGAATGAGATAATCATCACGATAAGAACACCAGTTGATTTCAGGAATAACTTTGTTGGCCTACTGCTGTCGTAGATTAGGCCTTGGTCTACTCTACCAGTTGAACCTGAGGTTCGGAAAATGTCCCATCTGTCGGATAGTCTCGTGCCTTTGGTCTGAATTTGTTCATACTCCGTGGTTTACTAAAATCGATGAGGACTCCCTATAAGACTGACTCTGTTTCTCACTCAAATACACAGAAGGTAGGTTGTCTCAATCAACGTGAGTGAATCCATCTTCTTGGCGTCATTCGAGGACATCTGCCAGTCTCGCACCAATCGCAAGAACATTAACTTCTCATTTATTGGCTATTACGCTAGTCCATTTCCTTGCGGAAAATCAGGATTCCGTGTCGAAAACAGATTCGAGAGCACGTTGTTGGTGCTGTTTCTCCTTCCCACTTTCAAGACTGCGGTTCACACGACCAACCGCATGCTTTACTCCAGGTGGTACAGACCACGACTCGTAGGCGGCACCTGTGGGGTGCTTATTACCGTCCGCAGACCTTGCCGCCTGCTTACATTGCAAATGGTCTCACTTTGTTTCCTACCCTCTGTATCGTTTTGCATGCACTGTGCTTCTGTGCCTCATTTGCACTGAGTCTCCTCAGCGCTAACAGGATATATTTGTTCTTTCCTGTTACTGATTAACTGAGATTTCCCCGAATGTTTACACATCATAATTGCCTTCCATTTTATCACTTAGATCATGTGGTTTGCGCCATTGTTTCGACGACTGTCTCTTTCTTATTCACAATGTACATTAGGTGTTGTAATTACCGTCGCAATCTGACCTCTGTTCTTTGACATACTTAGATTGGTATGCGTGATTCCGCACTAAGTAGGTAACTCGAACAATTTGAGATCGAAGCATGTGGGTCAATACGGATAAATTCGTTTTGGTCATTGGAGGAGGGGGTTCTCATACCCCTATCAGTGTTGCTTACATAAATTAGGCCATCAGTGATGTGAACACCCATTTAGCATGCGTTATGGCCCTCGCTCGACCGGTCCACCGGCGATCGACTCCAGCAAGCATTAGGTGGGGCTCTCTAGTCAGACCACCGTCAACCGCAATGTGGACGCCCAACCAGTTTGGTTACAATTAATTAGCTCATCAACACGAAGGCCGTTTACGTAGGCTGACCGTGTTCCACCAGCTAAGCTTCGCCTTCTCCGAATGTCTGTTTTTGCACTAATGTGCTATCCTTGCTGCGGCGCTTCCACTGAACGCATGCCCAGCCGGATCAAATCCAGGGATACGTTATGTTAGTCACTCTCCAACATATGCCAGCCTGGTTGATCAAATTTGCCGCATAGTCCACAATTGTCTCCATCACAACCAACCTTGCCTCAAATATACTCGACATGTTCACATGTTTTACTCAGGCTTCTATTAGTTTTCGCTGCTAGACCACTGCGTGTACTTCATACTATGGGGGGTTTACGCGTGGTTGGCCAAAGTCACGTCTAGCGTCTTCGATGAACCCGTGTCAATTGGTTCTCAGGGCTTCTACTTCAGTGCATTCCGACTATTCGACAGTTTTGAAGCTACCAACGGACAGATGTGCAGTTCCATCCCGTCTTTGTCACGAACTCAGCGCTACACAGGTGCCGATGCAGTGCCATTGTGGTATCGGCGTTACCTGATCACACAACTGGGCTTTATCTGTGTTGTTCATCGTGTCGGCCGATTCATTACGTTCATTCCTGTGTGATATACCAATGGTTGTTGTACCCGACTAAACTACCGGTATGATGCCTGCACATGCAACACCATCATGTCATTGACGACTGACTCCAGGAGACTAAGAACCTTTGATGGAGAGAATGGTGGGCACACTGATAGTGGCCATGCTGCATTCGAAGTTGTTCCCGATATGGAACAGTCCACCTTAGTTCACGGTTCAATCATTGCAGTTGAGTCAAATTCTGTAATGACAGGTGATCTGTGAAATTCTCTGTCAGTCGCTGAGGACAAAACTTATTAGATAATCTCACCAATCGTATCCCCAAGTACATTAGCCTACGATCTCTGATACATGGAGGATTTCCATTTTTGCTGGCGCGTTTCTGCCCTGCTTAATACTCCCAGTTGCTGCCCCTGCCCTCCTCTTGATTTGTTCCCTAGATACGCCGAATTTGTGTCCCACTCTACCGGGTCTCTTTGTTTCCCTTGTGCTTATCCATATAATCCTCCGAATGGCGTCGTTTACCAGCAGTCCTTCATTTAGAAGTTTTCTCACCACACTCATGTGGTATACCATAAAATCGCCATACCATCGCTCACTTTAAGCAAACTCGTCTACATAATTATATAGAAAGTAAACTGAAACATACACAGCGACCTTGATGCAATCGATTACGTGCTTTTACCATAGTCTGGTAACGTCTGACAGCATATAAATAAAGATCATATGTTAGAAGTCTCTAAACATCACATTAATGTGTGCTTAGTTTCACCCAGGTTATACGTGTAATCTCGTTTGGGGGTGGCTTGTCTATACTCCAGACTTTGAACAATAATAGCACTTTGAGGGCATTGTCATTTTCATCTCAGCTTATCCATGTGGCCAATAGATGAAAGCTAACGCCCCTAATCGAGTGAGCATCTCTACTTC